GAGAGGGAGGGAGGGAGAGGGAGACAGAGGGAGAGGGAGGGAGAGGGACGGAGAGAGAGGGAGGGAGAGAGATTTTCTAACAGGCTTCATCCTGGGCAGCACAGGCTCTGAGCAGCCCACCTCCCACTTCCCTCCTGCTTCAATTCTTCTGCTTCTCCTGTACATGTGTAAGTCCCAGCCACCCTTCCACCAGAGATGGCGGACCACTGCTACTATGCTAATTCCCAGAGGAATACATTCAGGACCTGAGAGCATATAAAATGTCTCAGACTCATCACCATTTCAAACCACTGCTCTGGTTTACATGAATTCATGAAAATTACTTTTTTTCCGAGCTGTATCAAGACAAAGAAATTCTACTGTTTCATTCAAAGATATGGACTCATGACTTTATATAACATTAAAGTTATCAGTTTTAGCTGTGACAAGAGAAGCTGGAAATTGACAGGCTCTTTTCTAAGCACTCCGTCTGTATTATTTATTTCATGCAATGACTCCATGGGGTTAGAACACAGGGAGGTCTGATCACTGGAGAAATACAGGCACAACCTGATGAACAGGATCGTAACACACACTGAAGAGTGACTGTGGCCCACAGCTCAGAGTCCAGGCTCCACTAAGCCCAGGAATCAAAAAGATGTTTCCAAAGGGGGGCAGTTACCACAGGGGAATGCAAGGTTCTGTCACAAAATCCTAAGGCTCTGTGCGCGACTCACCCACAAGAGCCTTCTGAGGCTCTGAGTAGCACTGTCTTCGGCCACTGATGACCCCGGCTGTGTGGGACCTTCGGCAGCACACAGTCCCTGTGGACCTACTGAAGGCCCTGGTGTCATGCTGGCTCGGCCTATTCAGAACTAGCAGCTGGTGGGGTAACGGACAGGCTGGAGTACAACACCCAAGTGAGGAATTTGTGCCATCAAGGTCCAAAGAGGCCCTGTATTCTTTTTCCCCTGTCGGTGGGGATGTGCCTTACACCACTGGACGGACCCCCAGAAATTTCAGGGAGGTGGAAGCCCCAGAATTTTTGTTGGGCATTTCCCCCTTATAATTTGCAAATGTTTTATCTGAAAGTCTGGAATAATTGTTTCTTCTCACTTGCTAGTTCAATCAGCCTAATGTCATTATTTAAATTTTTCTATTTTTTTGGTACCAGGGATCGAACTCGGGTCCTTGCACTCCTAATGTCATTACTATAATGGGCCAGTGTTATGTCTTGCTAAAGGAAAAGGTGACCAACGTCTGCATTAGTTTTCTGAGGCCGCCCTAACAGAGAACCGCACACTGAGTGCCTTAAACAACTGAAATTTATTGTCTCTAGTTCTGGAAGTTGGAAGTCCAAGACCAAGCTTTCAGCAGGGTAGGTGCCCTCTGAGGGTGGCAAGGAAGAATCTATTCAGGCCTTTCCCCTTGCTTCTGATCTGCTGGCAATGTCTGGCATTCATAGCTTATAAAAGCATTTGCTGGCTGCATTAGTACCTCGCCTACTCTAGAGTGACCTCATCTTAGCTAGTTACATCTGCAACCACCCTGTTCCCACAGGAGATCGCAGTCAGAGCCAGTGAGGGCTCGGACTTCAACATGTGGATCTTTAGGGACACAACTCACCCAGTGAAATGGTCCTTGGGGTCTAAACGACGAGACAGTTCTGGAGAGCTGACTCACCCCATGGGGAAAAGCACAGGCCTCTCAGATTAAAGCAAAGTGCTTTTGGTGGCCTTTAATAACAGGTATTAAGACAACGTATTTGGCAGATTAACAGCTACACACCAGCTACCAGGGAATATGCTAATTTACTCCAACAATGACACTGGTCACAAGTCTTACCACCTAGTGAAGCTTGCGATCCACTGCTATTTTCCAGGTTCAACATATTTTCTGCACAGGCCAAACCAAACAGCCCAGCTGAATGGCAAGATGGTGAGAATGACCACATCTTCATCTTTCAGTGTACTCAACTTTGCAATCCCTCCAGGAATTACTTTTGGTTGACTATTTAGGAACAGATCGTCCTACTTGGCCTTTCCTAGCACAGCAGACTCCACTCTATAGGCCAGGAAACCAGTGTGACAAGTCAGATGGTTGGTAAGTGCACCTTTACTAACTATGCACTGCAGAGAAATACCTACATAATGGGTATGGGGAATCACCGGCACATTTGAAGTGGACCTGGGCTGAAACGCCAATGAGTATTTGAATCTCTACAAGCTCTTAATGCAAATGGTAGGCCATGGTGACATTTTGAGTCCCTGGAATTAGTGTCAATTCAGGGCCAGAGTTTAGTAATCCCTAAAAAGTCTGATTATGTCCACAGATCCTTTGCGGAAGGCTGGGAGAAAAAACAAAAGTGGGAATTTCTGGCAGTGCAGGGGTGGGAGGGGTCATTTCCTCATTCAAGGAGTTCTAGGTATGACCAGAACCCCTTTTGAAAAATGACTGAAAGACCATGACAGAAGTTAGACTTCTGTTCACTGGACTTAGAACTCTTCTGCTTACACAGATGAAATCAGAATCCACGAGATGCCCATCTTTCTCTCCTATGCACCCCAAGATTGACTAGGTGACATCACAGGTTTCTGTGAGTGAGACTACATGGTTACTGCTTTGACTCCTACTCTTTGGTGATCACGTGCTGCCAGCTGGCCCTGTCATCCAAGATCAACTGCCCCACTGCAGGTACAGAGCCACATTTCAGGGGCAGCAGTTCCCACTATAATTTCTGACCCACAGAGAGGAGAAACCACAGAGATCCTCAGGCTGCTGGGGCTCTCCTCACAAACATACTTCTCGGGCACATTCTACACGATAAATCCACTCCAATTGCCCAACCTCCCTAAGCCCTGCACCTCTTCCTCTACAGTACACCAGGCAGGTCTGGCAGCCGAACTTCATGTAGCACAGGTCACCTCATCACCTTACGGTCCAAGCTTTAGCCAACAATTAACCAATTACCATCCCTTCTACCCCCCCCACCCCCATTATAACACTGGGGTATAAGTTCTGGGTCAATATCAGTAAATTTAACCTGACCCAACTTCGTGTTTCTTCCATCATTATCCCATGCTCTCATATCCACGTCCACATATATTCTCAAGATTTCTCTGTATAAACTGAAAAAATCATGCAGTGTTTTAGGAACGTAGCATACCTCCTCAAAGGGTCATACTTTGTAGCTCATTCTTCAGGATCGGCTGGACCCACTCTGTTTATAGGTCTAGAAACGAGGAGGGGTGTTAAGGGTAGGTCCCAGGAGAACCAGCAGTGTCCTGCAAGGCAACTACCTCAAGGGAGGCTGTTCCAGGTTCCTCATGCAAAGCAGGGTTAACCTTGTTCCAGAGAGGGCGAAGGACTGCTTCTACTCGTAAGAAAGACCGAGCAGAATTTAGGGCTTAATATTGCCAGCTTCATCAGAATGTTCCTATGTGCCCCTATTCCAAATCTGGGGCCGCATCCTTCCCAATCAATGTTATTCTAACAGTACGCACCCTATGAAGATGGAAATGCAACTTGCATTATATATAATTCAGCCGCTTACAGGATGAGACTCTGGGTTTTTAGCAACTTCAGTTCTGAAGCTACAGGAGAGAAGTGTTTTTTTAAGGCTAGACATAGAAATTTTCAGGCCATTTATGTGGATCTTGAAGTCCTGAACGCATGCTTTTCTTTTCTATTGTATCAGGCACAGTTAAGAATAATAGGCCAATGTCATTGTGCTCACTAGTTTTGACAAAAATGTTCTAAGTTATCAAATACATGATCACTCAGGCCCTTGCCTTCTTTGAGTATTTCAGTTGGCATATCCAGTGGTGATATTTTGCATATCTCTATTCCCATATCATGCCATGAATTATCAATGTCCTCTTTATTACTGGAAATGTCATTGGAGCCTTTAAATGTAAATGGATTAGAGAACCAATTTCAAATACCACAGGACCAATCAGAAAACTTATCCTTTATATTTTGCACTCTTGGTGCAAAAGTGGTATTAGTCAGACTGGTCCAGCAATACAAAACTATCACACACAGAAATTGTTTTTTCTTTTTTTTGGTACCAGGGATTGAACTCGGGTCCTTGCGCTTGTGGGACAGGCAGTGGGCCCAGCAATACAAAACTAGATATACAGACAGAGAGATGTAGGTATGTAGAGATAAGGGTATAAATACAAATATCTACAACTAAATCTAGGCAGATATACAGATTGTTATCAAGGGTAAACTCTTTAAAGTTAACTAAGTGTTGCAGGGTGTGGTGGCACACACCTGTAATCCCAGCATTTGGGAGGCTGAGGCAGGAGTACATAAATTCAAGGCCAGCCTGAACTACATAGCCAGATCCTGTCTCAAAAAGGCAAAAAATAAAAAGGTCAACTGAGTGTAGATGTCACTCACATCTTCAAAATACCATCACACCGCCTCGATTAATATTTGATTAAATAGCCTGGCCAACTTGATATATAAAATTAATTATGACACATTGTAAACTTACAAATTTCTCAACCAAATATTACTTTCAACTGTAGGAAAAGCGTTTTAAAGATTTTTTTTCAGGGCTAGGGATCAAACCCAGGGGCTTGCATATGCTACCACTCAACTACTGAGCTATATTATTCCCAGCTCAGAAAATATTTAACAAGAATATTTCATCTACTCTAAAGAGACAACTTTGGTATGGGAAATACCTGAAATGAACAAGACGAAAAGTCCTTCCTCCAAGCCTATTTGAGGAACAAACGTGACACAAACATCTTTCCTGCCTCCACAGAACTTCATCATTCTTAGTAAGTTTCAACATTGTGTCTACATTTTAAAAACAATTTTTATGTTTCAAAAATATGACCTCCAATTCTACAGTGGAAACTACACTTTAAAATTGCACCTCCGAGAAAAATGCTGTTTCTTATCAGTGGCTTGAAATAAATTCCATCTGTCATTTTAAAAAATCCATGACTTTTAAAACCTTTCTTGGAGACTCATTCATGCAATAAGTGCCTACCACATGCCAGAGAGTGCTCAAGACACCTAAGTTAAATCGCTAAACAAAATGATCATCCTGTCTTGGTAGAGCTCATGTTCTGGCATGATAACATTCTTATCCAGCTATTTTTCCCTCTGAACTGTGTGCATTAAAAAGTAACAAGCTAGGCATGGTGGTGCACCCTTTAATCTTAGCACATGGGAGCTTGAGGCAGGAGGACTGAGGATCTAGGCTAGCCTGGGATACATAGGGCACATAACAAGTTCAAGGGCAGCCTGGGCTACATTGCAAGACTCTCTCTCAAAACAACCCCCCCCCCCCAACCACACCAAAGACAAAACAAAAGGCAAAAGTAGAGTATCAAAATGTATCTTTGAAAATCTATGTGCCAGGCAACTTCTAGTTCTGAGAACAGTCTTCTAATAGGCACTGTTTCATTATTAGCAGATTCTGGTCTCTGCAGCTTGAGTCCAAATCCCTGCCCTGTCACTTATCACTTGCATGACCTTAGCCAAGTTACTTACTCTTCATCTGTAAAACAAAATAAAACAAAACAAAACACCCCTACTGGGCTACATAAAAACTAAATAAGCACAAATGTGCAAAGCACTTAGCTTGGCACATTGAAGGTACTACAGTGTTAGTTACTGTTATTATTTTAATTCAATTTCTAGAAAGTCAGACTTTTACATGATTTCTATTCAAATTCTACAAAAGGTACAAAATATGACTTCTATATATCCCATGCACAACATTAATTCATCATGAACTTTGTATAAATACATAGTTAAGTTTTTATTTAATCTGAGAAAAAGTTTTAAGGTAAAAATTAGATCCATTTTCTCTAAAATTAAACAGCAATTATTTCAAGAAACTTAAGCAACAGAACAAGTAAATGTAGACTATGTTAACTGCTTAGTTTTAGTACCTGAACATGTAATAAGTACCTTCAGTCTAGGACCTACATACACCTTTGCAGTTGTCCATCATGAACTGAAGTTAATTCTCAACTTAGCTAATCAAGTCATAAAAAAATACAAATACAGTCACCTGAAATTGATGGCTCGTTCTTATTTGTTAAAGGTAGTCTCTTTATTGGTCCAAAGTCATTATAAAGGGTCAACAACCTCAGAAGGGCTCACAGTTTAGAAGTGATCAGACTGTGAGGTGCACGCAAATGTCACCTTCCTCAAAGCCAAGTCTATAAACATAATTGTGCCTACAAACAAAAAAGCAAGCTGGTAAAACACAATTTTCAAAGATTCCCTTAAAGGACCAATTTTGGTAAAGAATTAATTCCAAAATGGACTGTAAATTTGTTATGGTTTTACACTGATGGTGGGAAGGTGTTGAGGCACAACAATGATCACACACACACACACACACACACACACACACGCATCGTAAGCCCTCTGAATCCACAGAACGGTTTGCCTGAATGGAGGGTGACAGCCCAGAACCACGGAGCGGTTTCGGTACAGCAGGTGCCTCCGACTCCCCACTGGAAATCGGAGGTGAAGGACAAAGACAGTGTAGCCTCCTCCCTCCAGCCACTGCGTGCCAAAGTCCAGCTACAGACAACGCGCCTGAAGTGTTTGGCGCTAACAGGTGCGGGCTGCCCTTTCCCTAGAACCTGGCAGGGAGCACGGCTTCCCCACACAGCGCAGTCCACTCCACCGGCTCCCTAGGAGGGAGGCGCAGGGGTGACAGAGGTCCAGGGCGAGACCCGCCCCGCCCAGTGACCTCCGCACTGGCAGCATGCGCCCGTGCTGAAGGTGCCCTCCGGGTCCTCCCTCCCCGACGCAGGTCGCGTCTACCTCTCCGAAGTCGGGCTGCCGCGCACCACCAAGGGCAGCCTCGTCGCAAGGCGAGCCACCTCCCACCCGCGGCCCAGCCACGCTCTCTCACCGCAGCAACTCGCCAGCCGCGCCCACCAGCAACGTGCTCCCGCAGTCTTGCTGCTCTAGCGCGAGGCACCACGGGATTCGTAGTTCCGGCGCGCGGGATGTGACGTCACCTGTGTCGCGCGCGGGAGCGCGTCCAGGAAGTGACGCAACAAGACGCGCGTGTCGCGGGCCGGCGTTTCCGCAAACAGTCGTGGCGGCCTCCTTGGTGAGTGGAGCGGTCGCGCGTAGGAGCTTCGGCTTGTGTGCCCACCGAGCGGGATGGGCGCTGCTGTGAGGTGGCCGGGCCAGGTGTGGGTACGCGGAAGGTTTGAGCGGCGCCTCGAAGCCTGAGCCGAGCCCCAGGGATCGCCCGCGCGCGGGTCTTGGGCTTGAGGGCAGCCAGGCGAGGGAACCTGGGACGCAGAGACCGGCTGGTCGATGGCCTCGGGTCGGTCCGGATTGCAGCCTACTCTACTACCCTTGACTCCCTCCTCGAGGATTCTCGGGAGACAGCTCTTCCGTTTGGAATATTTTGATCATTCCTTTTTTTTTTTTTTTTGCGGTGCTGGAGGTCCAGTCCTGGGCCTTGCTCATGGCGGGCAAGCGCTTTCCCAGGGAGCTGTTCTACGTTCAGTTTTAAACATTCTTGTCGGTTGTTGCAGTCGTCTGGACTACTGTGTCATTTATTCTGACCGGTTATGTTTTTGTAATATTACATACGTAGGAATAGTAGTAGCCTGTATAAATAAAATTCACTTAAATCCCAAAAATGATTACAGCTAAAGATAATGTTACATATGTTACATTGCTTTATTGGAATGTAAAATAATTTTTTTTTATGAAATAAATGACAAGAGGAGAAATAGGCATTTGATAATTCGGTGGCCAGTTTTCCCAATAATTTATTATTACCTTTTTTTTCTGATTTATTTCTTCCCATTTGGCACCTCTTATTATTTTGTTACCTCCAGCGATGGTTAGTGAAGGCCAGTATCTTCAAATGTCTTCGGTTTTTGGTGGATTTGTTTTTAACTCTTAGGGTACTTGACTTTTTCTTTGTGTAAAAAAAGCTTTTAAAAAAAACTTAATGGCGTTCAGTTCTGAATTTAATCTGAGTTTATTGAAGTTTACAGATTTTTTTTTTTTGGCTTTTTCTTCTCCATTTGACTTGAATAATACAGCCTAACATTTTAATAGTATATAGGCTGTAAGCCTCTTGAAGACGTAGTTCACATTGAGCGCCTCTGTAATATGAGATTGGATACTTTATTGAATAATTTACTATGTCGACCCTAGTAATAAGTCCTGTGCAATAAGTAGTTCAGTTATTTCTCCCTTTCATTTTACGTATAGGCCTAAGAACGTATTAGAAAGAGGATTAGTGGTCATTGAAAGGCTGAGTCTTGAAACTTGTCTGAACCTATTTCCACTGTCCTTTCTACCTAATTGGAATACCCATTATGAAGGAAAAATTTCAGAAGTCCTTGCTGTAGATTTTTTTTCTTTTCTTGATTCACTTTAGTCCCTTATCAAAAGAAATACCTGTTTCCTTTATTATTTTAGTACAAAGAATTTAAAAATGTATTTGGTCTAACAGTTTTGTATCTGTACAAAAAGTACACATAAATTGGGGAAAAGAGTAATGTTTTTATTCTTTTTTTTTTTTTTTGTACCGGGGATCGAACTCGGGACCTTGTGCTTTCGAGGCAGGCGCCGTAACCACTGAGCTAAATCTCCGGCCCAGTGTTTTTATTCTTGAGTAAGCACCACTGCTTACTAGTGGAATGTGTGCACTTGTGTACTCCAAAGAAGTTTGGATTTTAGGATTAGGGATTTGGGATGCTCAACCTGCATTTGTATATTTCATAAAATACCTGCATTTGTATATTTCCACTTCATTTAATAGTTTTAATGACCTCTGTGAATAAGATTATAGAAGTGTTGGGAAGTTATAATTGGCACTACTAAATATTCAGGAATTCACACATTATACATGTATAATAACACTTTTTTTGGTACTAGGGATTGAACTCAGGACCTTGCGTTTGCAAGGCAGCGGAACCACTGAGCTGAATCCCCGTCACTATATAATAACACTCTTTACAGTGAAGTCTTTAAAAACTCCTAGTTGATCACTGAAAATACAAAATACATAGTTTCTAGTTAAATTTGCTTTAAAGCCTTTGGATTAGTGTTTATAAATAATATAAAAATTTTTGCCGTTCCAGTGTTGGTTTATGAAGTTTTAACCATCAATTAAAGTAATCAGAAATGGAAAATTCTACAAAAGCAGAAGACTATCAAAAGATGTCTTTTAAAGAGGGAAATTCATCAGTAGATTGTGAAACAAAGTCTTTACTCAGTATTGATGAAACCTCAACAGCTTCTGGGGCTGGACTTTCTGAAAAGACTCCTGTCTGTGAGCAAGTGGATGTATCAAGAAAGAGGAAAAAGTTTGAGGACGATCTTGTAGAGGAAAGTTATGGGGAAGATACTCCATCCAAGAAAAGAAATCTTGGTGTTGAAATTGTCCTAGAGGAAAAAGCTTCAGGTGATGCTGACAGCTTTTCAAAGAAAAGAAAAATGGAAGCTGATAGTGTTCCTTCTACAGGAGATAGCACTCAGAAAAAGAGAAAACTAGAACTCGACGATGTTCCTGAAAAGCAGAAAGTATGTGGAATGTATTTATTTGTAATAGACTATATCAGCTGGAAACGTGGAACAGTGTGGAATTATACTGGTTTTTATATAATCTTAATCAGGTAGAATGTTCTGTTTTTAATACAAACGGCCTTAAGACACAGGCTTTTTAACTCAAAATTCTTATTAAGGTGAACTTGTGCTAATGAGATAATTATTGTTTTATTTCATAATTCGTTTACAAGAAATTTGAAAGTCGCTTTTTATAACTTGTTTTTTCTTAATGTTTAAAAAAAGACGGGAGTGTGAGGACTAGATGTTTTACCCTTTTCCTTTGAGTGTTCATCTCTTTTTTTCTGAAGTAGTTATGATGATCACTTGAGCTGATAAATTTCAAAATCATACCCAGTTTTGTGTTCCTTTATTAATTGAATTAAACTCTGATTGTTTCCAGCTTAGCAGTGTAGTTTACATACTGTGTTAGATAAGTGGATGCCAAAGCCTGATATTTAGCAGGGGAATTAAGAAGCAAGGATAGCAAATTATTTACTAGTGGAAATGATTCTGAGGCAGAATCTAGAGTTGGTATGAAAGAGTACTTTAAAGAATGAGAAAATTTTGCCATCAGCTCTGAAGAGGAAAGTAGAAGGTATGCCAGGCTTTTGTCATTGTCCTCATAGCAAAGGAGAGCTTGTATTTTATTTTATTTTATTTATTTTATTTTTTTTTGGTACTGGGGATCGAACTCGGGTCCTTGCGCTTGTGCAGCAGGCGGCGAAACCACTGAGCTAAATCCCTGGCCTTAGAGCTTGTATTTTAAATGCAGTTTTTAAAACTTGTGGCAGGTTTTTTTCAGGTAAAGTCTTACTCTTAAACCTGAACTGTGAAGCAGATAAAAGATAAGACCTGGTTGAAAAGGGAAGTGAGGGGGTTCTGGGGCCCTTTACCTACCATGGAGTTTTTATAGAATATCTAGAGTTGTACAGAATGAAGATGAGAAATTGTTGGATTAAATTAATAGCGTAGAATAGAAATCACTGACATGAAGCACAACTTAGTAAATTTTAATCCCTTTATATATATATAAAATCTTTTTTTTTTTTTTTTTTTTGACAGTACTGGGCATTTAACCCACTGACTGCTGAACTACATCCTCAGCTCTGTTTGTTCATTCATTCATTTTTATTAGACGATCTCTTTAAGTTGGCCTCAAATTTTTGATCCTCCTGCTTTGGCCTCCCAAGTAGCTGGGATTACAAGTGTGCATCACCCTGGCTGGTTTGTTTTATTTAATCCTCACAGCAGTTTTGTAATAATAACTTAAACGTGGTAACACATTCCTGTTTTCTTCCCTTGTAGGAAGTCCCTCTACTGATTGTCATTTATTAAATTGAATAAATCAAAACTCTGGGAGAGTAGTAGTTTTATTAAGTATGACAGTGACAGTAAAATTATACAGATGAAAGATTAAGATATAAATGTTAAATCTGGATTGCTTTTCATGGGGCATATTACAAAAAAGATCTTTGGTTTGGTAATAATTTCTGGGATCTCTGGGTTAAGCTCGGTTTACTTCAGTAGTGTATTATGTTTTTGTGGGCCACATTCTCTGGGGCTTTTTTTTCTTTTACCATGTTCTGACCCTTTATTTTGTTCTCTCTGTTTTATTTTCAGAAGCTAGAAGGACACAGCTCTGCAGTTGCTGCCCACTACAATGAGCTTCAGGAAGTTGGTTTAGAGAAGCGTAGTCAAAGTCGTATTTTTTACCTAAGAAACTTCAATAATTGGATTAAAAGTGTCCTTATTGGTATGATAAATTTTTACCTTTTAGTTTGGAATTTTAAAATTTATTTAATTAATTTGTTTTTTGTGTGGTGCTGGGCTTGTACCCAGGGCCCTCCCCATGGTAGACAAGCACCTTGCCACTGATCTGTATCCTTAGCCCCTAGTTTTCATTTATTCATTGATTTTTTTCCTCAATATTAACCATATATCAAGCTGTTGTATCTGTTATTTCTTACTCATTTGATGATCAAACCTTGATTTTATAAAATTGGATTGGATGTTAATGGGTGTTTAATTGATATTAGTGAAGTGTTCAAAGGCAGTGTGTTTCTTTAGAGTTAGAATTAAGGCTATCTAGTGCTCTTAAGTAATTATTTCACTATGCTTATATCAGCACAATGGCGTTTTTGTTGGATTGAACATAGGAATTTGATTTCGTTAAGAAAATGGTCAGTGTTGTGATTTTATCTCTGGGCTTCTATTGATTTAAAATTGATAGCCCACTGAGCTTGTTCTTCTCATGTGGTTTTCTTGGGAGAGGATAGCATTTACTTTGAGGATTGCTGAAGACATTCAACTTTTTGGAGTAAACATCTATGGAAACTCATCTTTGAAGTAAAAAGGAAGTGAGTGGAAAAATATGACAATATAATTATTGCTTTGTAAATCTAGTGCATTAAGTAGATGTGCTTAATTATACATACTAGAAAGAATAAAGTGCCAATTTTGAGTACTGTCTACTAGTTTTGATGACCCTTTAGTGATTTTCAAAGAAAAATAATGTATTCTGGGAAGTATTAGGAATAAGAACTAAATTCAGACGTATTTTGTGTTTTAATGTTAAAACATGTTAAAATATGATTTATCAGACTCTGTCAGTTGTTCTCTAGGGTAAGTGAGTGGCTGCCTTTTTTTCAAGGTTAATATGAGTATTATGGAGTTTTCAGTTTCTATTCTTAAGGTTGTCTGTGCATTCTGCTTTCCTTACTATTCTCAGTTGAAGCAGATAACTTATCATTGGAGTTTTCATAGTCAACATTTATTCCTGTGTTTTTTTAATTGAGCATTTCTTTTGTTTGTTTGTTTTTTATTTTTTGGTACTGGGGATCGAACTCGGGACCTTGCACTTTCGAGGCAGGCGGCAGAACCGCTGAGCTAAATCTCCGGCCCTTAATTGAGCATTTTTGAGTCCATTTTACATGTTATTTTTGTAATGAGGAAAATTCTCTCTCATCATGTGATATTGTCTCCTCAGCTGTTCAGTAACTCAGTGAGTACTTTGCCGCCTGTACCTCGTTCTGGTGGTAGAAGTGTTACAGTCATGCATGAGACAGTCGTGCGTGTACTACTAGTGGTTCAAACCAGCCAGTGGGAACATGTTAATGATACATGATGAATTCAACTTAGTTATACAGTATTTTGAAATAGCAAGTCTCACATGAACTTTGTAAGTAAAGGTAATAATTTATATTATGTGTCAGAGGTTAGAAGGTTGTTAAAGGTAGCCGTTTGTGCTTTACTAAAAATGCACAATATAGGTAATTTATTATGACTAATTTTTCTCTTTTAGGGGAATTTTTAGAAAAGGTACGACAGAAAAAAACCCGTGATATCACTGTTTTGGACCTGGGATGTGGTAAAGGTGGAGATTTGCTGAAGTGGAGAAAAGGAAGAATTAGCAAGCTGGTTTGTACTGGTAAGATAAATATTGGTATTGGAGAGAATAGTTGTGATCAGTTAGGTGAATAGGAAATAAGGGTTTCCTTATCATCATGATGCTAGAATATCTTGTGGCAAATTTTCTAGGGCCTGTGCATGAGTTGTGTGTTTTTAAAAACTAGTTACAGGACTTTCCTGGTGGCTTTCTAATACAGTTAATGAGGCTGGGATCAGTTACCCTTCCCGAGAAAGGCAGGAAGCTATCGAAAATAATAGGAGTCATATCTAAAGGACAAACTTGTGAAGTTTTCTACTGGCCAAGATAGGAATTCAGACATCAAAAAGAATAGTGATTGAACATTAAATAAAGGAAAAGACCTCATTGTTCACTCTTGGAGGTTGCTGAAAGACTTACTATTCTGAAACTCATAAATGTGGAAAGAGAATAGAACACTTTCTTACTTAATATAAATAGTATTTCAGGGTAGCCAAATGGTTGAAACAGGAAATTCCTCTTTATTGAAAAATCATATTGAATAAATGGAGGAGGAATGATAGTAGATTAGAAATTCAGGGGCCCGGGATTTAGCTCAGTGGTTTTGCCACCTGCTATGCAAGCACAAGGACCCGAGTTCGATCCCCGGTACCAAAAAAAAAAAGAAATTCAGTATTTTTTCACCTGCAATAATAGATCCAGGCAACAATCTTAAAACGATCAGGAAGCCATAAGTGAAAGCTTGATGGGAACTTGAAAAGTGAATGCGTCAAGCATCTGCACACAGCGGCCAGTCTGCACACTGAAGTGGGACCTGCCGATGTTCTGTGCTTGTGATAAGATGAGTTAGAGGAGGAACAGCAGCCACCTCCAAGGTATTGTCCTGGTGTCAGTCGCTGTTGGACTTTAGGGGCTCTTGCTATGTAGTCCGGCCTGGCCCTGAACTCAGGGCATCCTACCTGCCTCAGCCTTGTAAGTGCTGGGATTGCAGGTATGCGCCACTATGCTTGGCATCAATCAGCAGTTCTTAAATCTTCTGGTGTGATGAGTCCTAAATATGCTTAAAAGTTATTGAAGACTGGAACATTTTTGAGTATGTGGTTGTATCTGTTTGGGCTTACCATATGAGAAGTTAAGGCTGAGAATTTTAGAGGTACATTTTAATTTGTTAAAATAAAATTTAATGAGAATAACTGGCACTTTTTTTCCCTGCAATGTTGGTAGTCCTTTTAGAGTCTGGAATAATAGACTGTTTCTTGTTAATTATTTCTCATTAAACCTATCATAACATTATTTTGGTTGATAAGTAATTGTAAAATGAAAGGTATTTTAATAGCCTCTTCAGATAATTGTGGATGTTCATCTTTGATTCTACATCAAAAGTCAACAAATGGTGGTTGCTTAAAGGTTAGTTGTAATACGCAGTCTGAAGCCTTATTGATAAACATTTTGTACTGCATTACACTAAGATCCATTGGTCTGTCTTGTACTTCCTGCATGGTTTTGTAATATTTGGAAAATACTGTTCATACTGAAGTGATGCAGATCTATATGTTGACACCAAGAAATCACATTTGTTTAGTATCACCACTGATGAGAAAAGGCTTTAAATATTGGGGCAATGTTCATCCCATGGTGGGTACGTACAGGTTACTCAGAATTGGGAATTTCCCTTGAAAGTCGTACTTTAGCAGCAAATACTATCTATTGTGTTCCTTGAAACCTCAGTGTTCATTTTCAACAAAATATGTACCAGAATATTATTCATAACTGAAAACTGATAGTTTGTCATTCTTTCAAGTCAAAATGACTTTCTGTGAAGAGTGGCCAGTCCAGCTACAGCTCAGAACAGCCACACTAATGTTGTTCCCTAAGGTAAATGTCACACCTTGTCATGTAGCAGGAGGATTTTTTGCTTCTTCCCATTTTATCACATGGGCTATTGAAAGACATGCTTTCAAGAGCCAAGATTTCATCAGGTTCTGCTTTGTCAAGGGTATTTCTAGGTGAAACTGACTTTCTTCCCATGAGTGCTATTGGTGCTGTGGAGGTGGCTGTGTTCCACCCAGCATTGCTTTTGATCACAGCGCAAATCCCAAAACAGGATAAAGGGCAAAACACTGTTTTATGAAAATAAAAACTTGGTGTTTTCAAAGGTGAGCTTAGCATACAGTGTTGGGTTTTATCGTCATTCGATTGGGATCTAATCTTTCTGCTTTTAACTTTGAATAAGCATTTAATAATCATACTGGAACTTTTCTGGTATCAGTACCTGTAGGAAAGCTTTAGCTCCTTTTTAAATTTTATTTTTCTTGGATACCAGGGATCGAACTCAGGTCCTTGCGGTTGCGAGGCAGGTGGCAGAACCACTGAGCTAAATCCCTGGCCCTTAGTTCCTTTTAAAAACAAAATAATAGAGTGTTTGCATTGTAACAGACACTTTAAAGGAAAATAAAACCTTTTCAATGCAGAATTTTATGCTGAGTTTATTGGTCGAGATCCACATCTAAATTTTTGCCCTTCCTCCTTTTCTGTTGACAATCACTGATGCCCTTCCAGCCATGGCTGATGTTTCTCCTTCCACTTTCAGATATCGCTGACATTTCTGTCCAGCAGTGCCAGCAGCGGTATGAGGACATGAAAAATCGTCGTGATAATGAATATCTTTTTAATGCCGAATTTATAACTGCTGACTCTTCAAAGGTACAGGGATTTTCTTTTTGTTTTGTTTTGTTTTGTTTTTGGTACTGGGGATTGAACTCGAACTGGGGACCTTGTGCTTGTGAAGCAGGTGGCGGAACCACTGAGCTAAATCCCCTGCCTCTTTGTTTTTTAAATCAACTCATTTGTTAAAATGTGCTTTGAAACATTAAAAATCTTAGTACATGCATTTTAAGTTTCAGCTAGAAATTCTATTATCAGGTTCCCCTCAGCAACCCACTGGGTACTTCCAGGAATTTGCTTTTAATAATTTGAGTTGTTGAAATCACTGTTGCTTTTTGGTTTGGACGACATTATTTTCTAGTACAGTTGTCCCTCAGGATCTGCAGGGATTGGTTCCAGGACCCCCATGGATGCCAAACTCTAGAGGTGCTCAAGTTTCTCCTATAAATGATACAGTACAGGGTTTGTAGGTAATCTATGCATATCCTCCAGGGTGCTTTGTGTATACTTACGTACTTACAGTACTGCTAGTGTTGGTGCCATGTCGACTGTATTGTTTGGGGAATAACGACAGGGAAGAAGTCTGTACTGACAGCCTCTTTGACCTTGTATTTTCAACATGCAGTTATTTGAACCCACTGGTGCAGAACCTGAGGGTACTAATGGCTGACTGTGTTTTGAAATAGAACTGAACCTAATGACATTTTGTTCAGCATAGTTTATTAATCTCCCAACATCAGAATCTTTTTGTTTTTGCCACCATCAATCTGTTTCTGAATTGTGCGTGTGTGTGTGTGTGTGTATTTGTGTGGCTGAGGATCACACCCAGGCCCTTGCAACATGCTAGGCAAACACTTACCTGCCGAGCTTGAGCGATAACCTTGTGAACTGGATGATCATTGTCTGACCTGCTAGCTTATTTAAAATTGTAAATACCTTTAATCAACTTGTAAATACACATTTTGTTTGTAGTTTTGAAAGCGAAAAAGAAGTGTAATATATTGCTAGAAAGTTGGAAAATTTTAAACATTTTTATTTCTTTAAGATGCCAGTGTCAAAAGAATTAACCTTATCATATCTGATGGCTTCATTATTAAACATTTCAGAATCCCTAGATTTTTAAATTACCATGAAAAAAGGAATCAAAAAATTTTTAAGCTGGAATAAAAATAATTTCTTTATACCCTTCATACATAGCAAGGGAAAAGAGAGCTGAAGACTGATATAAAGGATTGATGGATGGCGGGGCTTAGCTACTTTTAAGAACTCTAAATGCTAAGAATTAATTTACCAAAAAGTTTTTCATCTATGTTATAGTTGCTTAAAAATATTAATCCATTTTAATTTATTTCAGGAACTTTTAGTTGATAAATTTCGTGACCCAGAAATGTGCTTTGACATCTGCAGTTGTCAGTTTGTCTGTCATTACTCCTTTGAGTCCTATGAGCAGGCTGACGTGATGCTCAGAAATGCTTGTGAGAAACTCAGCCCCGGAGGCTACTTTATTGGAACCACTCCCAATAGCTTTGAACTGATGTAAGTACTTTTAAATGTATTGCGGTTTAAAAATCTGCAGTATTAAGTAGCAAATGTTTATCACAATTAGAGTTTATAAGACACACTATATTGAGTCTTACAAGCGCTAAGCACTTAGTACTGTATTTGAGTAGATGCTCAAAAGATCTAAGATAAACTTTTAAAACCTTGTGTATGGCCAGGGAATTAGCTCGGTGGTTCCGCTGTCTGCCTTGTAAGTGCAAGGTCCCGAGTTTGATCCCTGGTACTAAAAAAAACCAAAAACCTTATGTATAAGTTGGAAATGGAGGTTATGCTGAGCCAGAGGTGATTGTGGTATGCAAGTTACTCATTAAATACTGAGGACCAGAGACTTAACCAACCAAACTTTTTGGTAACACCGTTAGTGATATAAAAAGTAGCTTGACTCTAATTAAAAAACTAATCAAATGTCTTTAAGTTATATCATTTAGTTTTTCAACATGCATAATCTCATCAAAGTAAGTATGATAATCACAACTTTAATCTTTTTTCTTTTGGTTGGGGGATAACCCTGATAGAAGACGTCTTGAAGCTTCAGAAACAGAATCATTTGGAAATGAAATATATACTGTGAAATTTCAGAAGAAAGGAGATTATCCTTTATTTGGCTGCAAATATGACTTCAACTTGGAAGGTGTTGTGGATGTCCCTGAATTCTTGGTCTATTTTCCATTGCTAACTGAGTAAGAATGTCATTAATCTGTTTCTGTTTTTTCTTTTTCTCTTTTGTCTTATAAGAAACGGAAAAAGGGGGAAGAATCATTATTCCTACTGATTGCATATTTTAAATGGCACCCTAAGAAGTCTAACCTTGTAAGAAAAGATTGTAGCCTCAGGTCCACCATTGGTGCCATGGGCCTCTGAGAGCCTTACTTAGTTTTCTTTCATTTTTGGAAATTATTTCATCCTGTGAATAAGAAAGGAGCCAGTTTCCTTCACCTTGCTGCAGAAAATACTAAACCTTGCAGATAGCAAAAGCTTTTCTTTAAGTGACTACTTCTAACTTTGGTAATATGAAGTGAGTCTTTGTAAATCAAAGGTCCTCCTATTTTGATAGAGGTAGGTGTCAAAAGTTTACTTTTCAGTAGTAGCTTTGATCAGCCTCTGTCTCATTAGCAATGGGTATAAAAGTGTAGTTCAGGAGTGTATTCCCCCATGCTTCTGAATTCCTAGTTTTTCTGGCAAACTAGACATAGGGAGAGTTGGGGGTCCTAGCTCTATCAGATAAGACTGGAAGGCCTTGTGATGCACCCTGGCCTTGGGGTTTCCCTGCTGAGAAGAGGAGGAGAGTCAGCTTTAGTGGAGGCCTGTCACAGCTGACCACGCTTGATTTATTACTTTTTAAAAACAAAAATCTTACTTTGAATATTGACTGAGAAGAGCAAGAGCTTTATTATTGTTTAGTTTTGATTGGTGAGTGAATTGGGACTCAGCTTGTAAAATTATGAATGTAACAATAATGTAAGAAAGCCAAGTAACATTGTGACTGAACATCAGGAAAGTAATATGCTCAAGTTTATAAATATATG